GGTCCTGGGGGGGCGAGGACTGGGTCGGGCCCGGGGAGAGGGGGGCTGGGCATCACGTCCGGCCCGGTCCTGAGGGGAGAAACCAGGCCCGGAGCTGGGCCCGGTCCCGGGAGGCAGGGAGGGCCCTGGCCGGGTCCAGCCGTGACGGCCGCTCCCGTGCCTCTGGCCGTTCCGCGGCAGTTCCCCCTCAGCTGCGGGTCTCGAAGCGTCCCCGAGTGAGGTGGCGGCACCTTCCTGAGGGTCCCTCTTTCTTTTCCCCAGGCCATAATGCAGGGGGAGAACGTCTCCAAGCCCGTGCTGCAAGTCATCGTGAGTACTCTCCGTTACCTCCTGCACCAGTCCCTTCGTGACCGCTTACGCTTCCACGCAGGCTTCTGAGCGTGGTCAGGCTTCCTCTGCAGGGGCGCCGAGCGAGGCTGATGTGCTCTTTATTTTGTTTTATGTGACTTGGGCTATGCTGTTGATATCGGTGCTCAAAAAAACCAGCTGAATAGATAGATCGTTTGCTAGTGATGTCACTTGATGTTTTTGAAGACTTTCTGAACAAACAAGAGCTAATAACCTGTTGTTTCCACATAGAATACACGGGCTATTGCTACAGGAAACGGGCCACCACGTTACCGGGTGTTGATGAGTGACGGGGTTAACACACTCTCCTGTAAGTATGACAAGCTGCAGTGAGATTTTTCTAAGTGTGGAGATACTAGCGGTGCTGAAGTTTCCGGTCTAGCATCTGGGTGCGTGGTGGTGAAACGAGTGTTGAAGGAGAACGTGGCTTATATGGGCACCATAGACTCTGAAGTGTGCAACTGCATTTTAACATTTGGACAAAATCCTTCTCTTCTGGAACTTTCTCTGTGAGCTTTAAGCAATTGACTCGCTACAGGGTGTAATGAAACTATAGACACCTATACATGTTTTTGTAACGGTGATTTTAAAGTAATTTAGCGTTCTCTTTGTCTGACTTCTTTGATAGATGATCATTTTAGCTAACACTGCACTCTGAAGTTTGGGGAATAAATACAGTATAGTTTATGCTCGGGTTTGGTGACTTGTTAGCAGTTTCACTGTTTTCTATGTGTTAACTAACTGAGCGAGTTGTAGATCTAATGCAACACTCGCAGACTGGCTGGAGAAGTTGTGGCCAGCCATGGCAGCCCCGTTTAAGGCTGGCACGTGTTAATTGTTTCATTGTTTTTCTTCTGTTTCTGCAGCATTCATGTTGGCAACACAGCTGAACTCTCTGGTGGAAGAGGAACGCTTATCAGCCCAGTGTATTTGCCAGGTTAACAGATTCATTGTCAACAGCCTGAAAGATGGAAGGTATATACGTTTCTTAAAGTACGGTCCTACAGAAAGGCAGCTGCGTTAGTGGGTGCTCTGTCCTTTGTGACTAAGCAGAGGCCAAATGCTTTTGACTGGCATTATCTGAAAATACTCAGGGTGCAGGAGGGAAAGTACACAGCACAAGCAATAGCAGAAATAAAAAAAAACTACAGAATGACTGCAGCGGGTGTAGTTATGTCTAGTACAGTGATTTAGTAATTTAAATTTTCCAGTTGGAATACTCCAAATTGTACAAAGTTCCATTAAAATTCACTTAAAATTAACTGCTGTGGAAAAGAAACAGTGAAGATTTCTTGTTGTGGAGTCTGGTCTTTGTTTTCTGGAAATTTGAGGGAAGCGAGGTAGGATACTGCAAAATGAGAAGGGATCTGAGTGAAGTGATTGTAGAAAAGCTATGTACGTGCCCAGGAGAATAGGAAGTGAGGTTCTGTGTCTTTTTACTTAGTGTTTTTGTGGAGGGAATATAACTTCTTTTGAGGCAGGGAATATATTCTCTTTTGTAAAATCTGGCATGGTTTTGATACTTTTAAAACACTGCGTTGTTTCGAGCCGCTTTGGTGTGCCCATTCAGCCTGCTGTCCTTGATGAAACGCGATACTGTTTCAAGCCTACTTGTACCTCATGAGAGGGTTAAGTTGACAGTGGAGAGCTTTTGTCTTCCAGATCCCTCGTCCAAAGAATCAGCCCCTAATGGTTGGTTCTCTTATCTGCACACAAAGGATATTCAGAGTCTGATAGACTTGCAGAGGGAGCAAAAGTCTTTATTGCTGTCTATTCTGTGTTTGTAGGAGAGTGGTTATACTGATGGATTTAGATGTTCTGAAAACTGCTGATAAGGTTGGTGGGAATATCGGCAATCCAGTGCCGTACAACGAAGGTGAGTGTCCTCTGTAAACAAATACCTTTCTGAACAGACTGTCTGTTATGATAGTCTTTCAGCTGTCTGTTTCTTTTCGTTTAAAAAGAAGCAGTCAGACATCTTCAGCTTTCTTATGCCTGGAACAGTGATGTCCAGATCTTGAAAATCCTTTCTATTTGTGTAACACAAAATGGGTTTTGTTCATGTTTTCATAAACTCTACACCATGGCTGAAGCTTCAGTCTCTACGTGGTATTGGGAAGTATCTATACCATATGATAACATTGGCAGGTTTTTGTTACCTGTTAGTGGTCCCTACCTAGAGTTCCAGTAAGTATGCGGAAGCTATTCTATGTCTCCTCATAATGAGTAATCAAATAGATTATAATTTCTTCTGTCTGGAAAGAAAACATCAGGAAGAAGATGTAATAATGATCTATGAAAGCATAAGATGGCATGGAGGGGATGAATAAAGAATGATGAATCTCTCTCTCTCTCTCTCTCTTTTTTCTACATTCATTTAATGCTCTTTAGTTCTCATATTGTCAGGTAGTGGTTTTAAACAAAGGCTGTACCGCACCCCCAAACAGTGCATAGTTAAATTATGGAACTTGCTAAGGTGGGTGCCAAAAATTGGCACAGGTTCAAAAAGCAATTAGACGTGAAAGAAAAATCCATTAAAGGCTGTTAAACATAACAATACATCCTCTGCATGAATGTGAAGTTCAGGAAGCACTAAAACTTAGGTTGCTCGAAGCACATAGATGAGAGACTGGTACGAAAACACGGCCAGCATACAGCCTTCTCTAAGCACCCGTTCCCACCCTGCCGTCTGAAAAACCATGATGCACCGGGTGGACCTTTATCTGACCTGCCGTGAATCTTTTGTTTTTATTATGTTACATAAGTAACTCTGCTCTTCACTTTCATGGGCTGAGCTTACCGTTCTCACGCAAACATTTTTTGAATTAATATTTTTTTTTTCCCCCCTGAGATATGTTCAAAAGTATGTTCTGTTCTTCCAGTTCTGATCTTTAAAAAAGAGAGAGGATAATAAGCACTTAAAGAAAATATTTGAACAGCTTTGTCATTGACGTATATACAGATAATAGCTGAAATTTAATAGCAAATAGCTCTTCTTGAAGAATTATTTTTTTTTCCTGGTGGAAGTGAATTAATATATTTTTATTACTAAGGGACCACACATTAGTGGCAACAATTTTCTGTAGGATATTTTGGACAGACGGTGGTAAGTACACTGCCATTCTGGTTAAAAATCTACTTTACTAATCGAAGTAGAAATTAGACTTCATTGCAAAGGCAAAGACATCTTTCTTCATTAACTTTTCTTTCTCCTAGGGAATTAGAGGGGCGTTTGTTAAATGAGCCTAAAGAATCCTTTGTTCCTTTGATAGTTACTTAGCTAATTGCTGTTTAAAAAATGTGTTGACACCTCAGATTTTATGGTTTAATCCCACAGTTGCTGTAGAGACCAAGATTTTCAGAATAGCTATTGAGCAGACTGTTTTGTGTCTTTCTCCCGTTTCCCTTGCTTGTGTGATATGAGAGCTCGTGAACTAGTGTTTTTCAGTTATCGTATTGTTGCTTAGAAACGACTGGGAACGTGCTATTTTACAGAACCGAGCTGAAAATATACCTTTGCGAGTATAACTTTTGGTAAAATTACCATGACTTCCATCAAAGTTGCGTTCTTCATTTGGGCTTACAAAAGTACTCAGCAATGAAGTTTTCAAATCTAAAGGCTTTTGGAGGCATTGCAGGTCTATGATCATAGTCAGTGTGGTCTTGCACTAGATCGTTAAGAGATGCTGAATTTGATGTGATGTGTATTTCATTTTGACGCTGACGTTATTCTGCAGACTTCATACCCTTTTATTTGATACTAAATAAGGTTTCAGTTACAGACGGTAATAGTTTCAGATTAGGTATGCTTAACCCAGCCTTTCTGCTCTGCAGGGCTGCCTGATCTGTCATGAAGGCCTTGATAAAAGGAGACCTTGAGAGGTATATCTCAAGTTGGAGTTTCTTTAGGTTCCTGTATATATTGAGAGATTGTCTTTTTGAGGAACACTCGGCTAATGCAGAAAGAGTATCTAAGAGCACTTTGTGGTTTTCATGGAAAAAAATTCAGGTATTTTAAAAAGAATGTTGAGTTCTACTTTTGGTCTTACTTGAAATGCAGATCTCAAAGTGCTAGACCTAGGACTAAGGAATATTCTTTCCTAGGCTGTAATACCACAGTAGGACCCGGGGAGCGAGAAGCTGGCTTTTGGCCACTTTACGCTTGAGCGGTAGGAGGTTAATCTGCCTAACAAGGAAGCTGGAGAGACAATCTCCTTAATACATATCATAAAAACTTTTCAGGCAGCATTTCGTAATAGTATTGAAAATTAAGATTGAGCCGTTTGATTCTTGGTAGAAAACTAGACGGTAATGTTATTACTGTCATTAATCTCATTCAAATTGCTCTGATGCTGGACTTTCTTCTTACTATGACAATTGCTACTTGCGTTTAACTTCTGTCATTCATCTTTCAACGTTGAAGTGTTTGTATACGTATACATTCATTTGAATTCTTTATTCTTGCCCTTCCTGCCATTGTGATTTGGTGTGCATTCTTTCAAAATGCTTTTTCTTCCCTCCTCTCCCTGCTCCCGTGCTGCTGCTCGCTTCTGGGACAGGTCTTCTGCCGCCACGGCACTGCGGCAGTACCTCTCGGTAACGAATTACTGGGCGCAGAGGGCTGCTGTTACACGGCTGTTACATTGGAGTGGGCTGTGTGGCTAGCTTTGGCCAAAGCCCTGGGGTTTGACTAACCCAGTATATATAGCAGAAATGTGATCAGGTGTTTTAAGTATTTTTTCAGCTTCTGCTAATAAAAACTAACAGCAAAAACCAGACAGAGTTTTCTGAGCACCTTAAGTGATCTGTAGGCCAGCAGCCGCCAAAACTCATAGTTTAGGAGTCCCTAGACTCTACAAGTGAGAAAATTGGAGAGAGATTTCTGCTACTTCCATATTTGAACACATGCACAGATGTG